ATATATATATATATATATATATATATATATATATATATATATGCGCGTGTAAACATATTTTATATCTGACATATATTATAATATTTTGAATATTTACATTTATTGAAGTCATTCACTTATTTTCTGACCTGACTGAACAGATCATGTTAGTATGCATATTAATAACAGCTTGAAATCAAATATTTTTTGAATGGATTAAGTATGGATACTGAGTTGATGCAGTATGCATACTAAACATACATTTAGTAAGTAACAGATGAATTTATTTGATATCTTCAAAGTTCAAAGCTCAACACTGGAGAGGTGCTTCATGTATTTCGATGGACTGGATACCTGCAACTGTGGAGGTCTGCTTTGAGAATGGGTCATTCTGGAACGGATCGCCTGTAATAAACAAAAAGGAAAGAGGGAGATGTTTTTAGTAGCCATTACAAAGGCTTCAAGAGCTTGGCTCCAAAAATGTGCCACACAAATACCAGTAAACAGGAGTTATTTAATATAAATTAAATTAATATAAATTAAACACAACGTATTTATGCTTAGTATAGCATTCAGATTCATCTCTAAGAAAGGGAGATATTTAATTTGAGCAGAACAAAAGGGCCTACCTTTGAATGGGTCTGTTTTAAATGGGTCTTCAGACTGGAAGGGGTCTGTGTGTATCTCCTGCGGGGCGCTGTTGAACACAGTGGTTTTCACCTTGAAAGGGTCTTCCTGTAATGGGTTTAAACAAACAATTGTTGACTGTAGATGTTTGCTTTCACACTGATCTGAGGCCTCTTTTATTGATTCGCTTATATAGAAGGTTTTAGGTAAGAGGGGCTGAACATGGATAAAATTTGCTGTTTTATGTTCAAAAGTAAGAGTATTTTCTTTCTTAAAGACATTCTAGAACTCATTTTATAGTTGATTATGATAACAGCTTAACCTGCTAGCTTTCAACCCAGATGTCTAATAAATGGGCCAACACTATATTCGGGGTCCAGCTGAAAATGTCTAGCTCAAACCAGAAAAGATGGAAAGCAAGAACTCTTCAGAGAAACAAATATTTGAAACAAGAACCCTGAAGTCTAAATTGCAGTCATTTTGTGCCTACAATTTGCAATTTAAGCCAGCACCTCAGCTGTTCCAAATAACATAAGAAGCTCTGTTAAAAGTGCTGGGTTTCCAAATTGTACCTTTGCATACAAGCCATAATTCAGAAAGAAAAGCAAGCAAAGTTCTCCCTCAGAAACCAGAGAATGTCGACAGATATTCAATCGCAATCACACGAGGAGTGAGCTTCATGATTGTTCAGAAATACTCCAAATTAGAAAAAATAAGAGACAAATAACTGTGCAACTATGAAACTTAATATAATCATGAAGACATGTATTCAGTCCAGCCTGTTCCTGTTTAAAATGTGTGTGTGTGTGTGTACACAATACTTTCCTGTCATCTCTCCACTGTCCTACCTGAATAATAAAGGAATAAACCCCCCCAAAAATATTTTTAATAATACATTTTAATAATGATTTCATATTTTGTATTACTTTTTAAAATCTTTTTGCATTATTATTTTTCATTTTTTATAACAATTATATAACATATTTGTATAAGTATTTATTTGTTAAATAAATCACAATAACTCAATATATAACTGTGTGTATTTTTGTTGTATTGCATTAAAAAGTAATGCAAAAAAGTAGTAGCTGTTTTGGTTACCAATGACTTTTATTGTATGAACAAAACATACTGAGATGTTTCTCAAATCATCTTCTTTTATGTTCCATAGTTTACGTCAGGCCGTTATAGCCTAAATGTTTATGTGTAATAAATTTGACATTGAATCAACTAAAATATTTATTTCTAAAGCTACAATTTGTAATGTTTACTTGATACTTTCTCGTTTAAAACAAAAATAGCTTTAAATATTCTCGGTGGATATTTTCAGTCAAATTTATTAGATTGCAATTAATTAGATTAACTAATCGAAACATGTAATTAATCAGATAAAAAATTTTAATAGACTGACAGTCCTATATATATATATATATAATTTTATTTATGTACAGTAAATATTTACTTGTGCATGATCTGATTTTGTTTGATTGCCATTCCAAGTAACTTATATATCTATATCTATATCTATATATATATATATATATATATATATATATATATATATATATATATATATATATATA